AGGGTAGATTTAAAAACGTTTGTTTTGTAATTTTTCGATTTGCTGGTATAGATCTTATCACAAATATGGCAATGAAAGATTTTTTATGAGAAATAAATTGAAAAAGCCCAGGTATCTATATCGAGGGGGGGGGGGGGGGGGTCCTGTCCAAAAGCACCTGTGATTGTTGCCAGAGACAAAATGTACCGATGCTTAACTGTCTAAGTGCGACAATGTTTGCTGGGTAGGAACATACTGTCACCAAGGACAATGTGTACAAAACGACCATATGTACTGTCTCCGGGTGAATTAATTAAGCTACTACAAGGCCAGACATTGTAGATGTTGATCATTAATAGAACTTTTATTATTCCTTCTTCATCATCATTACTATTAGTAAATGTAAATTTAAAAAGCTTATTTTATATGTTACATATATATGTTTATATGTTTTCATTTTAAGATTTAATAATATTGTAAACAACAAAAACAAGAGAGCAAAATGTCAGAGTTCTTTAGATACACACAGACAACACGTTTTATTCAGAGCCAAACTGCAGAACATTATATGTGATTATAATGAACATTTAGGGGGAAAAATCATCTGTCCAAAGAAAAAACAATTCTCGTAAAATTTTCAGGACAACACCGTCATTTTTCAAGAAAACAAACAAACAAACAAACAAAAAAAAGCAAAAAAACAAAAAAAACAAGAAATGACAATATTAAGCATTTACATATTTTGAATCTTTCAGACTTCAATAGAATGAATCGTAAAAACTCATCTATAAACACTTAAGTCAACAATCAATTTTATATAAATATTTCATTTATCAGTAAAGGTAATTTTTTTTAAATATCATTTTATCTTGTTTACAATAAGCTCATTTGATATTTTTTTTCAATGAATTTGGTGAGTTTAATTTGAAAGAAATCTTTTCGGTAATAAATGAACACTTTACTTAATATATCATTTTCTCTCTTTAGAATGTTTGGTGGCTAAGGTGAAGTGGATATTAATGCAGCAACCGTGAAACTGAATTGTATTCATCAACATATAAAATCAAATATTATTATTAAAAAGTGAGAGGAAACCTAATCATGTTATGAAACATTAAAGGAATCAATTTGTAATAAATATGAATTATATAGCCATAATGGATATATTATGCTTATCACGGTTATGATTAGGGATAAACAATGTCTCGGTCAATTTCATTTTTGGATGGTGACATTTACAAAGCAATTTATTCATCATGAAGTTTGCACGTTTGTGTTTAAATATATTTACCCTATTTCCCCTTTCCCTTAGAAGCGGATATAGGTTATAAGATGTATATATTTACGCTAAAAATATTCGAACTTTTGTACTTCAAATATATTCTCACTGTCCTTTGATCATCATCGTTTATTTGTTTATTAAAAAGATATTTTACAATACCCTCTCCATTTGTGTTTAGTACTAGTTCTAGCGAGCAACAGTAAAAATATTTTATACGTCGATTATGTCATCGTGTGATTCTCTTAAAGATATGATCTATACGTCAACAGTACGTCTATGTATATAAAGGTTATTTTGGTTTGTTTTTAAATCACCAGACTGAGTGCAGATTTCAAACATGTTATTTGCATTTCAGATTGTCTTCTTTTTGTTATTTTAAAATATATTTTATTTTACGATCAAAAATAAAAAGTATTTTATCAACCTTTTCAATGCACATTCCTGCAGATAGGAAAAAAATATTTGAAACATAACAATGTTCATGAATTATTTAAACTTTTTTTTCGTTTTTGCTAAAGATCTTTTATACATAACAAATATTTTAAGTCTTTCCAAAAGACTGTATTACGCACTCAAAAACGCATTATTACGCTTTTTTAAAAGGCGTTATTACGCCTTTTTGAAAGGCGTTATTATGCTTTTGTTGTTACACCTTACTAAAAGGCATTATTACGCCTTTCCAAAAGGCGTTATCACGCCTTTTATTCTCAAAATATGACTTACTCAGCCCAATAGGGGATGGAAGTAGGGGGTAGGGTCCTAACTTCGAGACCTTTGATTACTTAACTGCTAATTTTATAAACCCGAGGATCGGACTACCTTAAGTCAAATGCTGATTGACGTTTTTTATACAGATCGTTAGTCTATTATTTATAAACTGAATTGACGACGGATTTTGTCGATCAGGACAATGAGCGCACGGCGGGTGTGACCGATCAGTAGGGGATGCTAAATCCTCCATGGCACAAGATCCCACCTCTGATGTTTTGTAGGTCCGTGTTTGCTCTGCTCCTGTTTTGCATTGTTTTATAGACATTTGATCTTGAATACTGTTCGTTATTTCCATGTGTTTCATACATAATTGCGGTGATTAAACGTAAATATAAATTTTGTAGTTTATTTTGTTTGATAGAGGTATTCCCTTAAATGAAAATTTTAGAGAAAACCCCCAAAAAATTAAAAATCAAAATCTATTTGCACGAAAATAGAATTGAAAATTTTCCAAGTTATGTTAAATTAAATACTGAAAATGTTTGGATAGCCAAAGTTATTTACATATAGTTACTAAGGAGCATTATTGCGAAACTCAAAAATACATCCTGATTTGAAGGTATAAAAGAAATACTATTTCGAAAAATTTCAAATGACTTCCATCATGCTGAGACTTATTATAATTACAGCACTCTTTGCAGTTTTTGTTGCTAGCCCAGTAGACAAAGATGAAAACGGGAAAATTGCATCAGAAAATCTTCGTGAACTTCTGTACGAAGCTGACATTGACGAAACAAATTTCAGTGAAAGAAATTTTGAGGACTTCGAGGCAGACGATGATGATGAAAGTGATAGTAAGCAAGACAGTTTTGTAGAAAATGAAGAAAATTCTAAAGAAGAACCAGTTGAAACCAATCCTTCAGCAAGAGACTTCTTCGAAGGCGAAGAAAAAGAAGAGCGAGCTTTTGATAGCCCCCTGGCATCATCAATGTCCCAACTGGATGAAATGATAAGCTCGGCAAATCCAGGATTAAAAGTAAAATTTTGATAATTAACTTGCAATTAGGGTATCGTAAAGAAATGTATTGTTAGCTTTTAAATAAATGTAAAGCAAGATTTAGTAGTAAAGCAAGATTTAGTAGAAAATTTGGTATTTATATATCAAATAAACATGTTTTTCCTTTGTCTTCTTCAGACCTCAAAACGAAGCATGGAAGACATGGATATGATAGATGGTGATGTAAAATTGGACAAAGAATCTGCAGCCGAACTTGTAGAATTTTACAAAAGAAATCCCCAATTCCTGAGACTTACCAACGGATCGGAAGCATCTGTAAGTTGTATTAAAAAAATATTTTTTAAACTTGCAAAGCTATTTTTTAATTAAAAAAACGAGCAAAAAACAAAACAAAAAAAAAACAAAAAAAACAGGCACGATATTATTAGATAAACGGTTTTCATGACAAAACCTAGGATAATAGACTGGGAATTAAAACAATACAATATTGTATAAAAGGATACTTATAGCTTCACAAAATAAATTATTATTTTTATTATCGGTCATAAGTCATAAATTTTATTATGTGCTCTTAAATGCGGGCAATAATGAACAACTCAGTTCGTATGTACATGTACCTGAAGCACATTTGCAGCTCTGTTCTGAAGCCATTAAAATGCTAAAGCGAGTGTTTGTGAATAGAGCATTTATTACATTACAAATGCCAAATAAAATGAAAAATTTTACAATTTCAGAATGTAGCAGAAGGTGGGGTGCAAAAAATATCCCACACCTTGACACAAGAAAATCAGTAATCTGAACAATATAATAAAAATGTGCATGGAGGTTTGAAGGGGGGTGGAGGAGGGTAAAATTTTCAAACCACGTTTTTTGTAGCCAAGCGGAATTATGAATATGGGTTAGGCTAATAGCCGTAAATACAGGGCGCTTGGAAACTATAACCCGGAAAAACCCCTCAAGACCCAAACATTCATACACATTATTAGTAATTCAAAATACAAAAACTTTGAGCATTTAGATCCCATAAATTCCTTTATATACATAAATACACTTATGTGCTCTTAAATGCGGGCAATAATGAACAACTCAGTTCGTATGTACATGTACCTGAAGCACATTTGCAGCTCTGTTCTGAAGCCATTAAAATGCTAAAGCGAGTGTTTGTGAATAGAGCATTTATTACATTACAAATGCCAAATAAAATGAAAAATTTTACAATTTCAGAATGTAGCAGAAGGTGGGGTGCAAAAAATATCCCACAAGAGGGACAATGAACTTATAGAGAAGGGTCCCTCGCCCCACCCAAAAATGTGCTTCAGTTCAACATGAGTATGATAATAAAACAAATAAATTGATATAGGGATCAATGGAATACTTAAGAGGAACAGTAATCGATTCACATTCAAAAATTTTTTATAAAGTTTTGTCATCTTGTATTATACACATACTCATCATACTAATTAAATATTACTGTTAAGTTATAGACCATACTGCATAGAAACGAAATTTTTGTTCTTACTCAAATAATCCTCTGTTTCAATTCCCCTTGTTTTATCCTGCCCATAAGGAACATAGCCTTGTCCGAACAATAACTAAATATAAATATATACAAATACATGAATATTGTGTGTTAAACGATAACACAAAATCAAGTATAGTAATCAGCATGTCCCGCTATATATAATGCACTAGATGGATAATGGAAATGATCCATATAAGAAATTCTAACATATAAAACATACTTGGCTTAGTAAGATAAAGTTCCACCATCCACTCACAGGTTGAAAGTTATTAACATATGTACATAATCATTACATATCTTGTAACAGAAAAAATGACAAGAAACATTAACAATCCTCCATACCAAAAATCTTGAGTGCCGCCTCAGACAGTCACCCAAATCTAATAAATTTTCCGTACATGTTAATGTAGCTATAAATTAAGACAATCAAACATGTTGCAGTGTAACTTTCTCATCCATGATAAAAAATATGACGCCATGAAATTACCCTAAAACATTATACATATGCCAAATTATGAGATTATTGAATTAAGAATTTATTACCTGGAAAGGGATGCAATGAAAAGAGATGAAAAATGCTTCAAACAGAATCCCCCTTCCTTCAAAATACAATCAAGTGACCAAAAATAAAGGATACCGCCTCAGACAGTTATCCTCTATATTTGGAGCTTCTAACCTCTTCACAAAAACATGTTAACACTAAAATGTTGGAAACATTGATACCCTAATGTATCTCTTAAATGACTCTGAGTGCCATCGTCCCATGACTCTTATTTGTGAATCTGAAAAACCCTGTAAATGTGCCTGGGTTGCTGCTCCTATCCTGAAGCTGTGTGCTTTAAATGTGTTAGAATCAAGTTTGGAAAATTTTAGTGCTGACCTCAAAACATCACAAAATTCTGTACGCGAGATGGGTCGTCCTGATCTGTAGCAAAATAGGGCTCCTTCTTCTGCACCTCGCACCTCCAAATAATTTCTCATAGCTTGCACCGGACAAAAGCTGCATTTGGGTTGGGGATTTATTTCCAGCTGGACAGGTTTTTTACCTAAATTATGTTTGAAGTTGATCATTGTAACAACCATGCGTACTTGTTTTTTGTCACGGCTGAAAGAAACATTTCTTCGAAGCAACAGGTTTGGATTTGAGCCAGAACGAACTGTGATTTCTCCCACTCTTAGAAAAGCATAAAATGCTAAAAGAAACATCGCCATGTACAAATATTCTTGGTACTTAGAATTGGCTACATGTGGTATTGCCACCAGGAGCTTCCCAAGGATATCCAAAGTAATTGGTTGTCGGACATCTGAAGAATTGACAAGCCGTTTTGCCCCACTTAACATTTTCTTGATCAAGAAATGATTTGATAGATCTGGGGCATTTGTCATTTTGAAATAGTAAGCCAATGCTGCCAGGTAAGTTGATATTGAGCTTGGTGCTTTTCCTAAACTGAATAGGTATGACACGAAACAAATAACCTGTCCAAGGGATATCTCCTTAATGCAGTCAGTCTTGTAATAACTCTGAATAAAACTACTGAAACAATTTAGGGCCTGCCTGTACAATTTCTTTGTGTTAGGAGCCAACGCTGCATCTATTAAACTACATGCTGTGCTTTGGAGAGTTGCAAAAGATGGATTGGTATGCTGGTGGGTTTGGCCCATATCCACGGACACTTCTTTGAATTTCTCGATCTGTAAGCGTGAAAGTAAGTCTGGTAAAATATTGAACATTCCTGGGATGTGTTCTGCCGAAAAGAGAATATTGTATGTCATAAGTGCCAAAACTAATCTTCTCACCAAAATCATGATTTTTGAATCTTTTGATGTTTGCGAGTTCACAATGTGAACAACTGCTGCATTATCCGAATGGAATATGACACAAGAATTCTTTAAGTTAGAACCCCATAGTTCGACAGCTAACACAATCGGGAATAATTCCTTGAGGGTAATATCATAATCCTTCAGATTTTCTGGCCAAGACCCATAGAACCATTTCTTTTCAAATACAGCTCCAAACCCCAGAGAACCTGCTGCATCAGTGTAGAGATGAATTTGTTTCGATGTCACCCAGATATGTTTAAATAATAATGATTTCCCATTGAAGTGATCTATAAATAATGACCAGGCAGCCAGATCACGCCTACTCTCTCTAACCATGTCTTTGTGGTGGTGAGGCTTTGAAAGGCCTTTTGTTAGGTCAATGAGTCGCCTTAAGAATGTACGCCCAGGCACGATCACTAGACAAGCAAAATTAAGCAGTCCTATCAAGGACTGAAGTTCTCTAAGGGTAACCTTTCGCTTAAATTTCATTGAATTTATAGCTTGTTTTAATTTCTCCAATTTCTCACGCGGCAACCTAATCTCCATAGCCAATGTGTCAATTTCAATACCAAGAAATACCAAGTTTGTAGTTGCCCAAGAAGTCTTTTCTGCCTTTAAAGAAACACCTAGACTTTCACATGTAAGTTTGAAAACATGTAAACTTTGATTACATATTCCCGATGCAGGTGGACCAATAAAAAGAAAATCGTCCAATATATGAGTTATGTGAGGAATATGCCCCTTAACCTTTCCAATCCATTCTAAGGCCGTAGAAAATGTTTCAAAAATAGCACAAGAGCTCGCACACCCCATTGGCAAACATTTATCATAAAAGAAGAGACCATCCCATTGAAAGCCCAGTAATTCATGATCTTCTTTTCGAATGGGTATAATCCGAAAAGATGATTCCACATCTGTTTTGGCCAAAAGGCAACCCTTCCCTATCGAGACAATAATATTTACAGCATCATCTAGAGTAGCATATTGAACTTTTGTGAATGTATCCGGAATAAAATCATTGATTGAATTTTTTTCAGGAAAAGATAGATGGTGAATAAGTCTAAATTGACCCTGTTCTTTCTTTGGTACAACACCAATTGGTGAAATTTGAAGATTTTCAAAAGGGGGTGAAACAAAAGGCCCGGCAATTCTTTGAGCATCAAGTTCTTTCTGTAATTTGTTGCAAACAACGACTGGGTTACAAATGGCAGAAGAAAGATTCCTAGATGATCTGAAATATCTCGGACCGTGATAGTGCAAGTCGAATCCATATTTAAATCCTGAAATCAAATACTCAGAAATAGTTGCGTCATAGCCTAGTAACAGATATTGCAATACATTAGCTATAATAGGGGTCACGACCTCATTGGTGTTTTGCTGTATTGCCTGAGGAAAACTGCACTGGGCTTTTACTAGTTGTTTGTGCTCTGCACTTTGTTTTAGGGTGGTTTCTCTTACATCCTGTACAAATGTGTTCGAATCTGCAGTTTTCAGTTTTGCAACTTCCATCCCTATTATATTTCCAGCAAATTCCTTTGGGGTAATGTTTTCTCCCCCCGGATTTTTGTCCAAACCTTGATCGAAAGGGACGAAAGGGCTGGTTCGCTTCCTCCCTAGATCTCTGAGCCTGAAGAATGAATTCAACATTTAGCTTCCCCCAAGGAGTACCCCTGTTTTGCCTGTCCATCCTAATTTGTTTATCATATGTTTGCCAAGAAACATTTCCAGATGATGCCATATCACGAACTGTCTCCGCGTGTTTTAATAGATTTGGCGTTTCGTTCGGAAATTTTTCAGTGTAGACAGAAAGGAAACGCAGAAATGCTGTTGTCCACTGGAATATGGTCTTAATTGTTTGTTTTGCCCTTTTGGGTACTACCGAGAGGTTAGTGTTCTCCCCTATTTTAAATGTGTAGTCATTATTTTCGGTGCAAGGGATTAAATTGTTAGGGAGAAGAGCTGCAAGGTCAATATACTGATCTTCCCATATCTTTTGCTTAAGCTTTTGTGGAATCATTGCCGAAATAGGAGTTGACCAAGTGGAAGTATCTATTGCCTCACTTGAGGCATATTCATCATTTGACCCCTCAATATCCTTAAAGGTAATCTCTGAGTCGGACTCACCGTCACTATCAGAAGCACCTCCCCCTTGGGTATCAGTGGCTTTGTTCCTTTCATCAATTGCTTCCAACACGGCCTCGGTGATTTTCTTCACCAACACATCCTCTTTAGCTTCACTGTCTACCTCCTGTGCTTTTCTCGTCTTTGCTCTTGTGCCTGTAGTACTGTTTGAAACCTCTGTACTCCTTCTCTTGGCACCAGCTTTGGCCCTAGGCATTTTCCTGTAAAATACTTTGTAAGCAAAGCTCTATATGACAAATTAATAGATGTTCAGTCTGAAGTTTACCATTGAAAATGCAATGCTTGCAAAGGATTTAAAACATACTTAAATAGAAGCTTATGAAAAAGATCATTTCATTACAATGATTATTGTGTTAATGTACTTATATCAATATTATAATATATATATATGTATATATATATATATATATATATAGGGCATAACAACACAATGGTGCCAAACCATACATGGAAACATATAGCTTAACCATATAGAGCTACAGCACTGATAGCCCAACCATGAAGGGTAACAATTTATGTAATATACTTTGGGAATACCTGTTTAAAATAACCCATGAAACTTTCATGAAGAATCTTATGGTAAACAATGAAAAACATGGTAATCGACTGACGTAACATTTACCAGGTGAACAACCAATGACATAAAACCTAAGAGTTGTAGATAAACCTATGTCATTTAATCGCACTTCCTGACATCCCAACTTCCCTGATAAAACAATGCACAAGCAACCCCATTTTACCATAACAGTGTAATTTGTATTCAATTTTATAAAACCACTTGTAGGCTTTTAAATGCCGAAACAACTGAGGCCCTAACACTATTGTAATATTTTGGGTACCCGTATGTTTCAATTAGGTGCACACCATCTTCACAGTACACTATTTCTTTATTTTCCTGTGACCAAAATCCTGAGTGCCTCCAGAATCTGACACCCGAGCCAAAATCTCTTCCTAGCCTATCATTCAAAAGCCTATTAACCACATCTACCCTGGCATTGAACCACTCAACGTCTACTGAAAATCTGCCAGGTTTACCTGGTGGTTTTCTATGAAGAATTTGATAAACACATACCCTCTGCACTCCGCGACCCCGGAGCTTATCGGTGAACGAAACTATTTTTTCAACCAGATCGTAAACTTCAACATCCAAGTTACACAAATCGTTCGAACCTATCTGCAGACACACTACAGCTGGTTTAAATCTATCAACCTCTCTTAAGCCTCTAACTGATATTCTATCGATTGTACAGCCCGAATATCCTCTGCAAAAATCTTTCTGTTGTAGATCCAGATTAACATGTAACTGCTCAGAACGATTCATAAACCGCTGTAAACGAACTATAAATGAATGCCCGAGAATCAAGACACTATCCTGCATGATTTATACAATTATGAATACTCACAACACAATGTAAAACTTCTAAACTTTTCAAACCACGTTTTTTGTAGCCAAGCGGAATTATGAATATGGGTTAGGCTAATAGCCGTAAATAGAGGGCGCTTGGAAACTATAACCCGGAAAAACCCCTCAAGACCCAAACATTCATACACATTATTAGTAATTCAAAATACAAAAACTTCGAGCATTTAGATCCCATAAATTCCTTTATATACATAAATACACTCTTTCAAAAAATTATTTGAAAGTTTTTATCCATAATCTTTTTTACTGACTTCACGTGGTCTTTATATAAAGGATAGAATGAGTGTATTGTAGAAAGATTGTTTTTAAGGGACTCCGACCCTCAGCCAGGAAGGACAATTCTTTAATTTATAATTTAATTCAAAAAGTCTTTAAATTTAGCTTTAAAATTAAATATTTTCCTGCAACAATTTTCATTATATGCCTCTCAATGTGCTTCAAGGTTCTTTGCAAAGCTCCATAAATCACTTCTTATTTCATATCATCTTAATAAACATTGGTATCTAAAATGTTTTCTCCGGATAAAAATTTCTACTTTTAATTAGACCTTTTTGAGAAGTTCAAAGAATCTTGAAGCACATTGAGAGGCATGTAATGAAAATTATTGCATGAAAGGATTTAATTTTCAAGCTTCATTTAAAGACTTTTTGAATTAAATTATGAATTAAAGAGTTGTCCTTCCTGGTTGAGGGTCAGAGTCCCTTAAAAAAATCAAAACATAATTCAAATATTAAACCAGATATAAGCATTTCGCAGTCATTTTTATCTTTTAAAATGGTGGAACGTTTTTATTGAAGCTTAAATGGTGGTAAGAAGGATCCAATTCCTTTCCCTTTTTTTTCTTTTTTCTCTGATTCTAATACAGTTAATTAATTTTCATTCAAAAACTTGCAAAGATTAGGAGCTGTTGTAATCAGGAGGACAACATTCTAGGAAATTGTTCTTCTTTTCCTTACATTTTTAGATCCTCCAAGCAATATGTAAATGAATGTCCCGAACACAAGCAATTCTATGCAATATAATAAAACAAATGATATAGTATGTTGTTTCATTAATGTTAAACACTTTGTTTTCCTAATAGGCTCCTGAACCAATTGATAAACGAAAAGTGTACAATATTCCAAAGTGGACTTTCCCCATCAATTACCGATTGCAAATTAATTCTTCAGCACACAGTAAGAAATAAAACTATTTATTTTTTTAGATTTTGCAACGGCTTGCAATTTTTTTTAGAACTAGTTTAGATAGTTTACAACAAAATATATCAATGTATTTAAATGAATAATGATGGATAAAAAATGATTCATTTGTGTGAAAGGCAAAATTAAATACATCCTGTTATTTACAGAATGAATTTTAAAAACAATGAACATTTTCTGGTATTAACGATATAAATCTCCAAAATGGTTGTAAATACGTAAGTCAAGCATTGGGCTTTTTATTTCATTTATCATACGCATGAAAAAAATCCCAGAATATCTCTACCCGTAACTGTTTTAATATCTATACCGATATGCTTTAAAAAGATTATTTTAAAAAGTTATTTTTCTCAATCTCTTTTTCAGAAAAGGTCAATATGATTTTATGCGATCTTTTGAATTCGATTACTGAAAGTATTCTCTTTCACTTTAAACAAAATTTCCATTTTAGTTAGGAATAATCCTCCATGAGATCGGACATGCCCTGGGTTTGTGGCACGAGCAAAGCAGACAGGACAGAGATACCTTTGTCTCGATAATAACAAACAACATTGCAAGTGGGCGAGAAAACAATTTCTTGAAAAGACCCGGAGTAACCTACGGAACACCATACGATTACGGATCAGTCATGCACTATTCTGACAGGGTGAGGGAATCTTACTTTATTGATGGGAAATGATAAAATATAATAACAATTATATATGATGGTTTTAGAAATAGTTTGATCAATTAAAAGATTTTAGATAATGCTTACTTAAAATTTTATCATGACAGGCTTTTGCAAAGTCGGCCGGGCTTAAGACAATTGTCGCCAAGCAGAGCGATTACACAAGGACAATGGGACAAAGAGTCGGTTTATCATTCAATGATATCAGAGCTATTAACTACCACTATTGTCAGAGTATGTGAGACCTAAAAAAATCTCTATTTTATGATGTTTTTCTTCATTATTTTTACACAAGAATGCCAGTTACTTTTTTTTTTACTAAAGCTCAAAATATAAATCTGAAATTAGCGAATGAATGTCAGACATTCATGCTGAAACAGTCAAACCGATAAAGTATTTTTTGAGTTTTTTTCTTAGTGTTCCTTTGCCATGGTTATGGTTATATTCCCTTGTATGCAAAACACTCTACAATTGTATGACACAAATGACGACAAAAAAATCCATGTGCATTTTTGTGCAAGATATTTTCCTCCGGAATTAAGTATAAAACTTTTTTTCAGTAGATGGTAGATGCACCGGGGGATTGACATGGTCATCATGTAGAAATGGTGGATACCGGGATCCCAGAAGTTGTGGACGTTGCAAGTGCCCGGATGGTTGGGTTGGACAGTATTGTCAGTATCCAAAGAACCCTGGTAAGATGTTCAATCTTCATATGTGTATAAAACATAATATCAACCTTAATATATTTTCGCAGCAATCTTACTTACTGATAATTTTTCTCTCCTGATGATTGGAATTTCGTTTTCATTTTGCAAAGAAAGGTAATTCAACTAATTTGTTATATTGTTGTCGCTTTAGTACCTATGAACTTAAATATACAACGTTAATCAATATACTTTGACAACGATTCCATTTTTCTTAAAGCACATAATGTAATATTCTATTCATCTGAATTTAGCGACTGCTGGATGTGGAAACAAGTATAGATATGCCACATCATGCTACAGATACTTAAATACACCTGGATACTTCTTTCCTTGGAGGTACACAACCAACGCGGAATGTACTTGGAAAATATTGGTAAATGTCCCTGTTCATAACATTCCTTTATTCCCAATTGTAAGCTTCAATTTCGATCATCATATCTCTTTTAAAATTATTTGGAAAATAAATATAGAATTCGATGTTGATATAGATGAGGTTAAACCATGGTATGATTACTTTTGTAGGAAATTAGGCTGGACTGAGGACATCGGCCTGGATAGCTCAGTGGTTAGAGCACCTGACTAGAAATACAGGGGTCCCGGGTTCGATTCCCGGTCCAGCCATATGTTTTCAATATATATGTATTTATGAATTTTCAATGTATGTTTACTCATTCCTCCTTTCCATACTACAGATGGTGCCGTGGCCAACCTTGTTCAGGCAATGTATAATTACTAATGTTAAAGTCCTGACAAGGTGAACTTGAGTTGTGTCTTCGGGGTCGAAGACTATTTAAGGAAGGGGGAATGTAGGAAATTAGGCTGCACTGAGGACATCGGCCTGGATAGCTCAGTGGTTAGAGCACCTGACTAGAAATACAGGGGTCCCGGGTTCGATTCCCGGTCCAGCCATATGTTTTCAATATATATGTATTTATGAATTTTCAATGTATGTTTACTCATTCCTCCTTTCCATACTACAGATAGTGTAGGAAAACTGGTTTTTGTTTACAACCAAATTGCTTACCTTTTCATCTTTACATCTTTAAACTTGATTGTTAAGAGTTTTTACCTCATTATTTTGGTGCTATTTCAACATATTTATCTTAAACACAACGCGAAGTCAAACACATGTTACCCGGTTCTCCATTTGTAAACAATATTTGTCACTTCCTGTATTGTGTATTCACATACCTTTGTAAAGTTCGCTCTGATTGGCTAATCGGCGTTAAGTGAATCCAATAGTTCAGTTTGATATAAACTTATCGATTCATTGATTTTCTATTGTTCAATAAAGTATAAAAGGGCTGTCTTGTCCTTTCCTTACTGGAGTCGTCCGGCAGAACACTCCGTACAGGTACTGTTTCAGCACCTCACCTTTTCTCTGCTACTTTCACTTTGAAATGTATTTTGATAACTGAGTCCTTGACTCATTCGGAATTTATGTTCTAAAAAGTTTATTTTTGGAAAGCAATTAAATTTCTTATTTAAACTAAATATTTTTGAATTATCTTTCTTCTAAAAATTAATTAGATATTTTTGAAGCATTTTTCAACTAAAACTTGAATTTAGGAGAACTGGTAAAATTATTTATTTAATTTATTTCTGGAAAATATTTATATTTTCCAATTTAATTTATTTTGGTGCTTTTTGACAAAGTATTCATATTTCTGAGATTATTTTTGTATAGATATTTCATATTATATATTTTCCTTTTTGGGAGTTTGTTGTTTCAATTTCATGTTCATTATTCCCATTTTCTCTCATTGTTGTTACCGGTAATTCATCTTGTTATCATTTTTGTTATCATCTCTCATCATCAGAATCATGCTTGTTATATAAATTATTGAAATTTAAACCTGACTTATGTTGTTTCTCTCTGTCATAAACACATCCAGTGATTCGAATGACTGTGGTATGTAAGGGATTCATTGCTCCTGCACAAAGCTAATGAGTAATCTAGCACGGCCTTACATTTAATAGATTATTCAGTAGCCGCGGGGGCGTGAAACACTCTTCCTTACTACATTTTGGTGCCGTGACCAGGATGTGTTTCTTATCATGACAGGGAGACAACAAGAAATTAGAAAAATGTTCAGAGAGAAACTCTTTGATGATGATGAGTCTTTGCTAGGTGCTTCAGGAGAGAAAGATTCAAGAAACATTAAATCCCATGAAAAGGTCAAACATGAGAGTGAAATACTTGAACTTACAGAAACTATTAAAGATTTGGAGAGGCGTTTACAAGATGCTTTGAAAACTAGTAGAACAGAAGACAAGTATTCAGAAACAAAACCTAAAGAGCATTTAGATTTTCGCTATGAATCAAAATATAAGCCTTTTGAGTCTAATCGACACAGTACACCAAAGGTCAGTGACTTCAATAGGCCATTATTTGCAGAATCAAGGGATGCTAGATCATCATATGATTCAAAGTTTGGGTTAACTCAGTCAGGGCTCAGAGATGAGATGTTTTGTCAAAGAGTGGGGAACACTGGATCAGTATCTGATCCATCCTTCCTTAACAGAACAAGGTTTAGAAGTGAAAACCAAGGCCCACAATTAGGGAATGCTGGATCTGCATTTGATCCAACCTTTATGAGTGCCTCCTCTCACTTGGGTAGATCTGGGTACACAAATTCAAGGCATGTAAATTTTGAAGATTCAAGACCAGAATATTACTTTACACCAGGTCATGCAAACAATACACAGACAGATTTTCCATCTCACTGGTATTCCAGTCATTCTGTGCCAACACAAACATCTCATGCACCTACCCTGCAATCTTATGCACCTCCCATGCAATCTCATGCACCTACCATGCACAAAATAGTTGAACCAGACAAGTTTGACCCTAACACCACAGACTGGACAGACTACATGGCATATTTTGAACATGTTGCACACTGGAATAGGTGGAATGATAGTGAGAAAGCACAACGCTTAATCATGTGTTTGAGAGGTTCTGCACAAAAAGTGCTTAGTGAGTTAACATATCATCAGTGTACAGATTACACCACTCTCACACAAATACTCAATCAAAGATTCAATCCACAAGAGAGAGAGATAGTTGCTCGTTGTGAGTTTAGAAATAGAAAAAGAGAGACAGGGGAGACAGTTGCACAGTATGGGTACGCACTTAAAAGATTAGCTCAGCGTGCTTTTCCCAAAGAGCCCAATACCTCCCTTGAAATTCATGTAATTGACCAATACCTAAATGGATTGGGACATCATGAACTCAAGAAACACATAACCTTCAAACATCCTCAAACATTGGAGCAGGCCATATCCTATGCCTCTGAGTTTGAAGCAATTGAAGGGCCCTTGGATAAAATCAGAAAGCCCACCTGTAGTCCTGAATCTGAAAATTGTGAAAAGGTTCTAGCATTAAAACAAAAGAGCAAGACAGTTGAAGAGAAAGAGGATTTAGAAAGAATTTTGTCCAGGTTGTTAGATGAAAAGCTAGAAAAGTTAGTGAAAGAAAAATTAGACAGTGAGAGTAGCAAAAGTAAATCTCCTCCTCAAACCCTCAGTCAGTACAAACCTTTTGATAGAGAGAGAGAGAATGATCAGAGAAAACCTGTCAGAAACATTGTGTGTGATTATTGTGGGAAAGTGGGTCATGTAGAAAGTAGATGTTTCTTTAAACAAAAGAATGAGAGTAATCCTAAAGCTCAAAAGAACACAGGAAAAGTTAGTGCCCTTTCTCAGAGTGAAATGTCGGAAAACTAGATGGGGCTGGTCTTATGACCGTGAGCTCAGCCCTTCCTTTAAAAATAAAACAAGAACAAGAAAATCGGTCATCTACACTCAAGGAGAATGATACAGTCGATGATGGGAAACCTGCAGAACATAGGGTTAAAGTGTCAGTAGGCAATGCCTCTAAAGCTTGCTTGTATTTAAGGGTTAATGTTAAACAAAGACCTCTTAACATGTTAGTTGACACAGGGAGCCCCTTTTCCATCATTACAAAAGAACTCTTTGAAATATTTGGTGTTAAGCCCCAGAAAACAGATATCAATCTCACCTCTCCTGATGGAAGGGAGATAACTGTTCATGGAAAAATCAATGCTGATTTAGAAATTGTAGGAAAGAAAATTTGTCAAGAGTTTATTGTTGCAAATTTAGACAATGTAAATATTTTGGGAATGGATTTCCTAGAAAATACAAATGCGTCTATCAACATAAAGAAGCAGGTTTTGAAAACATCTTTGGGCCAATTTAAGCTGTTCAAGAATAACACAAACAGCTGTGCTCGAATTCAAGTTGCTGAGACTGTATCAGTTCCTCCTAAATCAGAGTTTGTTTTTCAAGCATGGGTTGATAAACCACTGAATGGGTTGGGACTGATAGAACCTACTAAAAGCCTTACAAGTAAGGGTCTTTTTCTAGCCAGGTCTCTCTGTGACCCAAGTTTGGGAGCGGTGACTGTATCAGTCCTAAATACTAGAGAGAAGCCTGTAACCCTTGAAAGAGAGAGCATTGTTGGTACCCTAGGGAGTGTGAGTGAGATTGTAAGAGATCCCAGTACACACAAGGATTCTCACACTGACAAACATATAGACAAAGATCTTCCAGAGTATTTACAACCTTTGCTAGATACAGTTCACACAAGTTTGACAGAAGAACAGAAACTCAGACTCTCACATCTCATTCTTGAATACAAAGATATTTTTCATGAACCCAGAGAAAAGTTAGGTCAAACAAACATAACAACACACAAAATCAATACAGGTGACCACACACCTATCAAAATGCCACTCAGAAGGTACCCCATGGTTCAAAAACAAATAATTGACAAAGAAATTGATAAAATGTTGGAAGATAAAATCATTGAACCCAGCAATAGTCCATGGTCTGCAAACATTTGTTTAGTCAAAAAGAAAGATGGCACACCAAGATTTTGCATAGACTTTAGAAAATTGAATTCAGTGACTCAAAAAGATGCCTACTCTCTTCCTCGCATTGACGAGACATTAGATACCCTTTCAGGTCAAGCATGGTTTTGCACTCTTGATCTTGCCAGTGGCTATTGGCAGATCAAGATGCATGAGCAAGATAAAGTTAAGACAGCATTTACATCACATAGGGGGTTATTTCAATTTACCGTAATGCCCTTTGGGTTAACGAATGCACCCGCCACTTTTGAAAGGCTTATGGATTCCATCTTCAAAAATCTAACCTTGAAAAAATGCCTTTGTTATTTAGATGATGTAATTGTTTTTGGCAAAGATTTTGACACCACATTAGAAAATCTGAGTTTGGTTTTTACACAACTCCGAATGGCAAATCTGAAATTAAAAGTCAAAAAGTGTCTTTTGTTTCAAAAGAAAGTTCCATACTTAGGTCATATTATATCTGAAAAGGGGGTTGAGTGTGATCCATCAAAAATAACAGCTATCAAGAATTGGCCAGAGTTAAAATCTAAAAGGGATGTCAGAAGTTTCTTAGGGTTAGCTGGCTATTATCGCCGCTTCATTCAAAACTTTTCAGAAATTGCAAGTCCATTGACCCAACTGACCCGCAAATCTGTAAAATTCAAATGGGATGAAAATTGTGCAAAGTCATTTCAAAAACTTAAAGAATGTCTCATGTCATCTCCTATTTTGGCTTTTCCTACTAATGAGGGAACATTCATCCTTGACACTGATGCAAGCAATTTTGGGATAGGAGCAGTACTAAGTCAGTTACAAAATGGTTAAGAGAAAGTGATAGCTTATGCCAGTCATACTTTGAATAAAGCACAACAAAAGTATTGTACAACCAAGAAAGAGTTATTAGCTGTTGTAACATTTTTGAGACAGTTCAAACATTTTTTGTTAGGCCAAAAGATCTTGTTGAGAACTGATCATGCATCTTTGAAATGGTTGAAAAACTTTAAAGAACCTGAGGGAATGTTGGCCAGATGGTTAAGCATAGTAGATACTTTCAATCTTGAAATTCAACACAGACCAGGTTCTAAACATCAAAATGCTGACAGCTTATCCAGAATCCAACAAAAATGTAAAAACTTAAAGTGTCCATGTTGTTATCCAACAGAAATTGAAAATAAAAACTCAGAAGATTCACCTTATGTTCTGTTAGCTCTACAGGAATCTGATTGTCATCTGGATTGTAATTCTGGACAAACCAATCTGACATCAGATATTACCAGAAATCCCAAATTATCAGTAGATCAGTTAGGCAATGCTAAAAATTTGGACTGTGAGCAGTCTAGTAGCCCTTTTAGCATTTTCCCAATGACTTTCAATGAAAATCTTCATGATCATGATGAAGAACCTAATTGGCTAGAGAGTTTTCAAGACAATGAAATTAAAGAAATGCAAAGAAATGATCCCATCATTGGCCCTTTCATTGAATATAAATTACAACATCAAAATAAACCAACCAAATCAGAAATGTCAGGGTTTTCAAGAGAAACAAAAATTTTGTTTTCCCAGTGGGACATACTTGAATTCCATAATGAAATTCTCTATCGCAAATACTATAGACAAGATTGTTTGCAAATGGTAGCCCCTACAAAAATTCAGAGAGACATTTTTGAAAATCTTCATGTTAAAAAGATTGCAGGCCACTTTGGCATTGAAAGAACTGTTTCTTCAATTAAACGTAGGTTTTATTGGCCTAGAATGGATGAATGTATGAAAAGATGGTGTGAGTCATGTGACCTTTGTGCTAGATGTAAGCCAGGTCCCGGGGTTGGAAATTCCCCCCTTCAGCAATTTAAAGTGGGTGCCCCTTTGCAATGTATAGCCATAGATATAGTAGGGCCATTACCAGAAACTGTAAATGGGAATTTATACATTATGGTTGTAGGGGATTACTACACAAAATGGAAAGAAGCCTTTCCAATTCGTGACCATACAGCCCTTACAGTAGCTGACAAACTAGTTACAGAGTTCATCTGTCGTTTTGGATGTCCAGACCAGATTCATACAGACCAGGGGAGGGAATTTGAATCACATCTTTTCAAACATGTTTGCAATCTTTAAGGTATTGAAAAAACAAGAACAACCCCTCATCACCCCCAGACAGATGGTCTCGTAGAAAGATTTAATAGAACACTTCGACAAATACTTAGTATTTTTGCTTCAGAAAATTTCGATGACTGGGATGATTTACTCCCATTTCTACTCATGGCTTATCGTGCTACTGAACACAAGAGCACTAAATGTTCCCCAAATCTTTTGATGTTTGGCAGAGAAATAAACTGTCCGTTGGATGTAATAGTAGGGAAGCCACCAAATGCTCCCAATGAAGAATGCCCTATCAAATATGTTGAGTGGTTAAAATATTCTCTTTTAAATGCTTTTGAAAAAGCAAATGTAAATTTAAAGCAATCTGCAAAAAGGCAGAAAACTGACCATGATAAAAACGCAAAATTTAGGAAAATTAGTGTGGGAAAATGGGTTTGGAGATGGTATCCTCCCAGTGCCAATGAAAAGTTAGGGTTAGGTTGGACAGGGCCATATTTCATTATCAATAAAATTTCAGATTTGACATATAAAATTCAGAAATCCCCTAATTCAGAACCAATTTCAGCACACATAGACCATCTAAAACCGTATTTGGGTTTAACAACACCTTCAGCCTGGAATACCCATGACATAAGTGTGGAAGTTTCCACTCCAACACCAGAAACATCAGAACCAAATACAACTGTACACAATGACTCCTATTCTGACCCTCCTGAAATTGCACTTACCCCACAACAAACTACAGAATTAAGAAGTAGGGCAGGGCGACTAATTAAGCCAAAGCAAATATTTAGTCCATCTTAATTAAAGTTCATGACTGTTTTAACTATGTGGTTTTTATTTTAATCATCACCTAGAGACATGTATAATGGATTTGAATAATTTCCAAATACATGTTACATATGTATATAATTAATGTACTATGCCTAATGTCATTGAATGTATCTTTATTTTTAAGTTATAGATGGATGTGTTACAGCTAGATGTTCCCATGGAGGAGATCCATACTTTGGATGATGATCTAAGGCCAGAATGGAATTCTGAGGGAATGACCTGCCCTGTGCCTAAGTGTTCCAATACTAACAGATTTAATACCTTCAGAAGTTTCATGGCTCATTGGACGAAAGTACATGTTTCCATAAAAAAAACTTAATAAATGTTCTGAATGTAAAAAACTTATCCAAACAAAACATAAGAGGCAACATGAACGACAACATTGTACAAAAATTGAGTTCACTATAATTACCGTCCCTAACAAAGAATATATTGATCCAGAACTAATTCTTCCTCCAAAATTCTCCAAAATTCAAAACATGCCTGATCATGAATCTCCAAGAAAAGTTGCCCAACGAAAAAGAAAATATGAAGCAGAAAAAGCCCTAGCGAACACTACCATTTTATCAGAAAATTTAGATCCAGATTTCAACAATTCCAGAGACGAAAAGCTATATTTCCTGGAAACGAACAACACAACAATTGTCACCCATCACAAAAACCCACGATGGTACAAAGATGCACCGGTTGAACCCCCAAGAACAAGGCAATAAATCAGATACTAAACATTATTAAGTTGAAGAGACTTTGATGTATTTGAAGTATATTGTTGTTATTTATATACCCATGCAAGTTTTATGATAATGATAATCACTCATTTTTCTTTTGTTGTAAATAAATACCCGAGTGATTCATGATATCAATTTAACGCAATATTTTTGTATGACTTATATGTAAACGACCTTATATTTTTTTTTATCGGTCATTGTATCAAGTATTGTATTTTTTTTCAGTTTTCCTTTGATGATTATTTAACACACAAATGTTTACACATTTGTTCCCCAAGGAGGGAAGAGTGTAGGAAAACTGGTTTTTGTTTACAACCAAATTGCTTACCTTTTCATCTTTACATCTTTAAACTTGATTGTTAAGAGTTTTTACCTCATTATTTTGGTGCTATTTCAACATATTTAACTTAAACACAACGCGAAGTCAAACACATGTTACCCGGTTCTCCATTTGTAAACAATATTTGTCACTTCCTGTATTGTGTATTCACATACCTTTGTAAAGTTCGCTCTGATTGGCTAATCGGCGTTAAGTGAATCCAATACTTCAGTTTGATATAAACTTATCGATTCATTGATTTTCTATTGTTCAATAAAGTATAAAAGGGCTGTCTTGTCCTTTCCTTACTGGAGTCGTCCGGCAGAACACTCCGTACAGGTACTGTTTCAGCACCTCACCTTTTCTCTGCTACTTTCACTTTGAAATGTATTTTGATAACTGAGTCCTTGACTCATTCGGAATTTATGTTCTAAAAAGTTTATTTTTGGAAAGCAATTAAATTTCTTATTTAAACTAAATATTTTTGAATTATCTTTCTTCTAAAAATTAATTAGATATTTTTGAAGCATTTTTCAACTAAAACTTGAATTTAGGAGAACTGGTAAAATTATTTATTTAATTTATTTCTGGAAAATATTTATATTTTCCAATTTAATTTATGTTGGTGCTTTTTGACAAAGTATTCATATTTCTGAGATTATTTTTGTATAGATATTTCATATTATATATATTTTTCCTTTTTGGGAGTTTGTTGTTTCAATTTCATGTTCATTATTCCCATTTTCTCTCATTGTTGTTACCGGTAATTCATCTTGTTATCATTTTTGTTATCATCTCTCATCATCAGAATCATGCTTGTTATATAAATTATTGAAATTTAAACCTGACTTATGTTGTTTCTCTCTGTCATAAACACATCCAGTGATTCGAATGACTGTGGTATGTAAGGGATTCATTGCTCCTGCACAAAGCTAATGAGTAATCTAGCACGGCCTTACATTTTATAGATTATTCAGTAGCCTGCGGGGGCGTGAAACACTCTTCCTTACTACACTTTCTCGAACAAATTTGATAACATCAAGTTTTAACTATTCCGTCAACTTGATTAATACATGGGACTCACGTCGAGAATTACCGGTCAACAGGAGATGCTTACTCCTCCTAGGCACCTAATCCCAGCTCTTAAATTTCTAGGGGTCCGTGTCTACGTTCACTTATTATTAATATTTATAGTTTTTTAGAGCTCGATTAATATAAGTTTTAGTAATATCATATTTCATGATAAAATATTGTAGCTTAAAGTTATTAGATCTTTTTTCCCCTTTGTATTTTACTCATGTTTTCCTATTCAATATCACGCGGAAAGGCGAAATAAATTGAATATATACACACCCATACATAAGAACAGCTAGTTATTAAGGAATGAAGACTTCTGATATTTATTCAAAATGAATATACTCTAGGCACCTTCAGGAAAACGTGTTCGATTCCAGTTCATTTGGGCCTTTGGTATTACTTGCAACACAAGATGTTTAGACTTTGTAGAGGTTCGTTACAAAAGTCTCTCTAATACTGGACCAAGGTAAGCCAATTCAAATAACTTTTTTGATGTTGACAATTACACTTACCGGACACTTGTTTTCTTTACATGTAGAATTTTGGAAAACAGTAAACATCTAAAGTTTAATTATATCTCTTTACATGTTTTCTTGTTCTTTACCTACAAACATTTTTTATGCTTAGATATACTTCGGAGAAATGAAATGTTATTGTTGACACGCAGCAATAATTTAATTTTAAAAGTATCTTTCATGTCTTATTTTTAACTTTAAATAGTAAAGAATTGACAATATATTCGCGGTGTAAGACTTAAAGTGTTCCCTCTGAATGCTTTATAGTGAAGTCCTGTACATTAAATAAATTTTTTCATTGTGATGAATGTCTTATAGTTGAAAAATGTCAAGAAAATTTACTCTAATAAAAATTAAAGTATGAATAATAAGCAATCAATATTAAGGAAGAAATATGAAATACATTGCTTAATGAACTACATTTAAGATCAATCTTATGTTCCAATTTGTAAATATTAATGAGAAGAAATTCAAAAAGAATACAATGTTGTATTTCTATTTCATATTTCAATTTATTTATATTAACATAAAAAAAAATTTAAAAAGGGAATACAGACCTTTTTAAAATTCTTCTTCTTCAATATGACAAAAATAAATTACATCTTTATATACAGGTTCTGCTGTAACACAAGACCCACAAGAATCTTCACCTCCACCGGCCGAGTGATGTTGATCCTATTTAGGACACACTCCAATTATGTATCAAGAGGCTACAGGGCAAGATTCAGATATGTCTAACTTACCTTTTTGGACATGCTTCTTCTTCATTTAATATGATCATAAATAGGTAGAGACAGTCGCCATTTTCAAATAGTATTTTATATATGGTATCTTTTAGTAATCAAGATCTTTTCAATATTTACGGAGACCTGACTATAGTGTCACTACCGATTTTGTCTCTTACAGAGATTTTTTTCTTTTTTATATATGTATAGACATAATATTGAAACATAAAACATTTTCGCAAACATCTTATTCATGTAAATTATTCTTTAATTTTTCGAATGACATGATTTGTGTGCTTATTTATAAATAAAACTTTATTTTATGTGTTGCTTTTATATGTAATAAAATGGATAATCTTTTATCTGTTTCTTTTACTTTCCATTTGAAACAGACAAAGTATGTAATAATGAAACATACAGTGATCGATTTCTAAAACTCGTAACAATACAATTATATCAAAAGCGCAGAAAACAAGGATCATTGAAAATATCAGCAGAGGGATCAGGTACCCAGGAGGAGTGAACATCCCCTGTTTTGCGTACGTTGTATATGTAAGTGTAAGTTGATGCTTATGAAATTTGATACATTGATGTCAATTTACACCAACAAACTTTAAATTATTTCATATAAGAACGTATTTGCTGAATGACAATGATAATGAGTAAATTTAAACTATTTAAGGAATGAAGCTTATTTCAAGTTACGTTATACGATATAACATAACTTGGGGCAGTTTACGCTTTATAAACCGCGAAGCGGTTTATAAAAAAGCGTAAACTGTCCCAAGTTATGTTATATCGTATAACATAACTTGAAATAAGCTCCATTCCTTATAATTTAATTTCAATATAGACAATAGACAATTATTCCATTTTTTCCTTCGGAAAAAAGGCTTCAAATATCGCATATTTTAAAAGTTAACGTCAAGCGGAGTAATACGCTTTTGACGTAACTCATTGTGACGTAGGCAAGTTATGTTATACAAAATGGATAAAACCGTTTAACCAATCAAATGACGTGATACAACTGAAATTAAATTATTTAACGGTAAAAAGCGGAAGAAATATTTATCTGCATTAATCATTGTGTTCCTCTGCATATTTATAATTTTTCATCCCCAAGAATAATTCTTTTTTAATTTTTTTTTCAAATAATGACCGCTTTGCTGAAATATTACTCGGTATTTAATATTTCAATATTTTATGAAATTAAATACCTTAAAACCTTGAAAATAAGCCGCGGCTTATTTTAAGTTTTGGTAAGAAATTGGGGACTTATTTTCAAAACCGTCTTCTTTTCAAATCGCGGCTTTTTATCAATACATAAATCTGGTTGGCAACAAGAACATAATCAAGACGTTTCATCAATTATTATAAATGATAATCGATAGATTGAGAACTACTTGCTCGATCTAAAAAATAGAATATCCAAGTAATCTTCCGTTAGAGTTAAATAAAAAGTGTTCAAGTGTCGTAATTCTGTGCACTAGCTTTTAAAAAGATGCGCTTTTAGCAATGGAGACTGCTTAAACGTACACCGTGAATGTAAAGAAAATTTATGACTACCTTATTTTCAAAACAGGCTTATTTTTGAGTAATTTTCCGTGCAAGAAATAGGTGGCTGATTTTAAAAAACGTCTTATATTTAAATCCGTCTTATATTCAAGGTTTTAGGGTATACCTTTTAATATCATTTCATGTAGATAATTTTATTTAATTTAGAGCTATATATAAAAACATTCAGTTGGTCAGCTTATGCAGATTTAAATATTATTTTAACTGCATACGTGTCTCATAGATTCGAATTATTAAGTTATATTTTGTCTGAGCTTCAATATTTTTAATCGGCAAAAATTTGGGCATTTGCTCTAGTGTTGTGGAGTAAGGATTTCATCCTTTCGTCGCAATTTCAAATCCCGTTGCCAGATGTTCATGATGTTTTCCAAGTTATAATGTTTTGTATTAATGAATGACATCTTAAGGATCAGACAAAATGTTCATCGAATGTATCTTGCGTATTTCCTCATTATGCCTTAAGTCATCCACGGGCCTAGTGGTTAGACATTGACGTCTAAAATCGTAGAGCAAGGAGTTTATTCTAACCTCGCTGGTTCGAATCCCACTGTAGCACGTGAGGACCGGTCCTTCAGGTGAGACCGTATAAAATGAGGTTCCATGTTCCAGTAGGTGCTGTCACGAAAAAGATCCCCATTGCTCAATGGCCGTAAGTGCCGAGTAGGGATCAGAATCTGTAGATCTCCACCGGCAATTGGTAACGTCTGCAGTGAAAACTTCTCGAGAGGGACGTTAAACAACAAACAAACAATTAATCATTCAATCATATTACATAAAAGTGTTAATAACTATCATGATATCGTGATTTCCGATCTTTTCGTAAGGAAATACACTGTATGCATATATTTAAACCAAGTCAAGAATTTGTTCAATAGGATTTTATAGGAAACATTACATGTACAATGAAGTTCTTGTGTCTGCCACTAGTGTGTGTCAAAGCATTTAGTTTATTAAAGTAGCATCAATCTATAAAATTTCGTCACATGTCTCCTTGGAAACGTTTAGCAAGCTCTATGACACATATAATAGCTATCACGATGCCTCTCGAAACATAGATACATAACTCGTTGGGACCTTGTTTTGAGAATTATCTTTAAAATAAATAGAGAACAAATCCATAAAAAAAGTGAGAATTTTGTCATGAACAAAGTTAAGAACAATAAGAAAACATTGCTTTGTTAATGCTGAAATGACAGGAAATAAGTTTAAATGTTATAGTGTAATGCTCAATAAAGAAATAATTCAAATATTTCATGTTATTTTGAACTTGATTTGGTTATCTCTCTTTGCACATTTTCTTTTGCAGATTTTTTTTAGGAAGCTAAACGCTTCTTATTATTTTTGTATGTATGGACACATATGTTAAGCAGAAAATATCAAAACCCAATAGTCGTATAAGAAAATTATGTTTCTGTCTCCCACATATACATGTAACAAATCAGAACCCCCTTTATGTTTTACAGGTCTTACAGCATATTTAAATAAAACGAAGTACTTGGTTATATCTGCAAAATATTGTTAAATGTCCGCTATTTCACTTGTGAAAATGAATTAATTTTGAATGGAAATGAACAACGATTAAAAAAATCAACACTTTTTTATTTTATGACATCTAGATTACAAGTGAAACGACGATCGTTTATAAGGAAACTAGCTTTTTCTATAGTATACAAACAAAAGCAAACGCAAATAGAAAACTGGTAATTAAATATCTTTTAATTTTACCATCAATCCAAAAATTAGGAACAAAAATGTATAGCATTCAATCCGAAATTAATTGTTTATCAATTGAATAAAAAAATAACAAAATTGTTGTAAAATTCTCATCTTAGTTTTATTGAATTTAGTTAGCATTTGAATAATCTAAATGATCATTACTACATACATGAACAAGGATATGGGTTTATTGTACTCTAAATATTCATTCATACGTAAAGTAGTATAAAGCTCTGCTAATGTTTTCATGAATTACTTCAGAACTGACTGACCATGAAATAAGTAATGTATAAAAATGAGAAATTGGAAATAAACCCATAGATTTAATTTACTATAAAAACCACAGACGCTAAAAGTTTAAAACTTTCAAATACATTTTTTGTCATTGTAGGAGGATATTTATATAAATGAAAAGGCTTTTAAAAGTGTCAAGCGCCTGTGATCACATAATATTTCGTGTATGATATATACGAGTACATGGAAGTAATTTTTAGAGTCATAAACTACAATATGACCCCTATTTTGTTAACTGTAATTTACCTCTTCCGTCATTTACTTTAATAAATGACATATTTCACTTATACGTGGTGCTATTTGTTTATGCCTGCTTTTAACAAAATGACAAACTCAGTTGTTTGGCAGGAGAACTAAGGAACATTAACTATAATTGATGATAAAGGTGATGACTCCAACTTTTCTATCGCCTATTGTCAACTCCCCTTATTTATCTATTGAGTAAAACTTCCAGTTGATACCAAAGAATATGCTCTAAATACAGCTCTGTGTAGAACGAGACGACCTTTTGTGAAACATGTTGACAAAAGTATCGTTTGAAGTAACAATATATGATCGATATCTTGAAAAATAAAATTATGACTTTTCCGAAATACGTAATTTTGAATGGTTTTTGAACACACAAATTATCATTATTTCATGTAGGTAAACTGCTATGTATACAATCAAAATTTATTTTAAAGAAAAATATCAAGTAGTCAACTTAAGCATATTCAAAAGTATTATTGATTATTGAGCTCCGGTCAATATTCTACGACAAGTAGGGTCATTTTTCGACTGTAGAAAAACATTCCAGACCAGTAATTCAATGACTTCACACACGTTGAAAAATGACCCCCATAGAAATTTGACCCCCTACTTTTTTATGCTATAACACCTAATATCTGTGTCTCCTGCTATATTTTCATACTTTCAAATGCAATTAGGAGGAATTTTTTATGTACTTTAATCCTTTCCAACATATATTTGATTGCATATCTTAATTGTAGCTTCACAATCAATGTATCTGGTATTGTTTTATTTTTGGCTCACAGAATCCCAATGAAAAACTTCAAGAGTACTGTACAGCAATATATTCAAGAAGTGGTGTGAATCAGATGTGGATACTCAAAAATTCCAAAGAATTTTTGGAAAATTTAAAATCTTAAGAATTTTCCAAAATCAACAGCTTAAGACTTTTTAAGTTTACACACAACCATTCCCCACGACAAATTAAAGTTCAGACTTTTTTATATCATTGACGGCTGCTTTTTCAGTAAAAATAGAACTCGCTAATTTACTAACCTGGTCATTGGTCATTTGCAAAATTATTTCGTTAAAACACATTCTGATTGCACACACTAGTACTCTGAAGTTGACATCAAAGATGCTTGAGTTTCTAACTGACAATATCTACGTAGTTTTTTGAGACCCGGTCTTCCAACAATC